GAAATTAATCACTGACCAGTACTACAATTTGTATAGAAACATTATAAAGGGTAATTCCTGATAATATTAAGGAAAAGAGATAAAAGTAAGGCACAAATACATTTTATATGAAAGTCTGTACTGATTCCTTGTGATAAAAGTGTACAAGTTTTGAAATAGTACTGAGGATATCATTTTAATATCCAATTCAAAATTTTATTACTCTTTTTAAACTGAATTTGTTTCTTAAGATGATTTTTGAAAAATTATATATTTGCGCTGGTTATGACACATGTAGACTATATATAACACTTACATTAAATTAAGAAGTGTCTACCACGTAAGGCAGTTGGCTCACGATCCAGAGGTTCCGAGTTCGATCCCACCAAGGTAAGTGTGTTTTTCAAATACGAGAAAATATTTATAATTATAGACTGCATCTTAAGAAACAAATTTAGTTATAAAATAGTAATAAAATTTCGAAAAAAAATAATTTTTTTTTATGCCGGGTAAATATCGGAAATCGAAATATCGGTGAGTAATTCAATACTAAGCACCAGTAGTTTTGTGTAGTATTAATCACTACCTATAATATTTATCACTACCAGTATTTTCCCAGTATTTCCCAAATAAATATTGACAGTATTAAATCACTGAGATTTTAAGTATTTAGTCAGTAATACTTTTCTGTAAGGGTTCTGGAATGCGGCCATCTTTCTCTCGATTTCATCCTGTCGATCTTTCAAAATTTGCACGCTCTGCTGCACGTAACGTTTATTGGCTGCATCGCCATCATCTATGGGCGGCGCTATCCGTCAAATCTTGCGCGATTTCGCGCCAAAGTCGGTGGCGACCATGCAAAGAGCGTTATCGCGCACATAATTTCTGATTAATCCTCTCCATTGATAGTACGGTTCCGCACCGCCTCTTCCGAGCGATATACCAAACTTGTTGATCGGCATTTCGATGTTGATTGAATGGATTGCTGTCGCGCCACTTAATTTATAATAAGTCTAGCCTCGCAAAGTTTCTCGATAATCGACAGAATTCTTTTCGCGTAACGTAATACGCCGCAGATAAATCGCGCGCATCTCCGCGAGAAAAAAAAAGACAGCTATTGAACCGTTATGAAACAGCTAAAAACAGCTATCAAACAGCTATCAAACAGCTATCAAACAGCTATTGAACCGCTATGAAACAGCTAAAAACAGCTAAAAACAGTTATCAAACAGCTATTGAACCGCTATGAAACAGCTAAAAACAGCTCTTGAACAGCTATCAAACAACTAAAACAGCTATCTGTATAACTGCTATTGAACCGCTATCAAACTTCTTTTAAACAACTAAAAACTTTAAACTAAAAACAGCTCTAAAACATTTTTTAAACAACTAAAACAGCTTTTGAACAGCTCTTGAACAACTAATGTTAAATTCACCAACGATGGAATGATGCTCGGTAATAAACGTTGACGTAAACTACGCGGACAAGATAATTATCGACGGCATACGATACAATGGCACACGCGGTCTTTTCGAATTAATCTTTAAGAAATATCCCGATCATGATATCTACACGGAGGACGATATGCAAACATACAAAAGCATTCTGTTGATGACGAGTGCTCATAAACGCAATTATGATGCTCACGCTCAAATAAAGGGCAACGGGGGGTACAAGTACACACATATAATCGGGCCGTTGATTTCGGGTAAAAAAGCTGGAAAAGGTATACCGCGTGCCATGACATTAAACGACAACAAGATCGACTATGTTCATTGGGACGATCCCAACGAGTAGTAGATCGTCTCCGATTGCTCGAAGCTTCGCGCCTAGCGGGTCACACTGGTCACGATAACGAGATCCTGTCGATTATCGAGGAACTTCGCGAGGCTGGACTTATTATAAATTAAGTAGCGCGACAGCGATCTATTCAATCAACATCGAAATGCCGATCAACAAGTTTGGTATATCGCTCGGAAGAGGCGGTGCGGAACCGTACTATCAATGGAGAGGATTAATCAGAAATTATGTGCGCGATAACGCTCTTTGCATAGTCGCCACCAATTTTGACGCAAAATCGCGCAAGATTCGACGGATAGCGCCGCCCATAGATGATGGCGATGCAGCCAATAAACGTTACGTGCAGCAGAGCGTGCAAATTTTGAAAAGTCGACAGGATGAAATTGAGAGAAAGATGGCTGCATTCCAGAATAACGTACAAATTACCCTAAACAAACTTCAAAAGATGATTTAAGATGTAATTGCGAATCATCGTGAATAGA